CCCTAAACCCTAAACCCTAAACCCTAAACCCTAAACCCTAGACCCTAAACCCTAGACCCTAAACCCTAGAGACTGAAGCTTCCCCCTTCAAGCATATCAATATGAATAGGTAGAGTATTTAGGGTTTAGGGTTTAGGGTTTATATAGCTGGGGTTTAGGGTTTATATTAGCTAGGGTTTAGGGTTTAGTGTTGCTGGTTCTTGTTATATTATTAAACCCTCAAATATAAGGGTTTACGATGATATTCATTTTTCTTCTAGGGTTTAGGGTTTAGGGTTTATGGTTTCCATAGATGTCTGTATTCTCTCTGTGTTGTTTTCCTTGTTTAGGATATAGGGTTTACTGAGTTAAGGGTTTACTGTGTTTAGGGTTTAGGTTTTTTAAGGGTTTAGGGTTTTTCAGGGTTAAGGGGTTTTAGGGTTTAGGGTTTTTTAGGGTTTGGGGTTTACGGTTTAGGGTTTTCTAGGGTTTAGGGTTTAGGGTTTCTCAGGGGTTAGGGATTTCTAGGGAATTTTAGTGCTTAGGGTTTACGGTTTAGGGTTTTCTAGGGTTTATGGCTTCCTAGGGTTTAGGGTTTTCTAGGGTTTAGGGTTTATTTTTTTCTAAGGTTTATGCTTTTCTAGGGTTAAGGGTTTTCTAGGGTTTACCGTTTATGTTTTTCAAGGGTCTATGTTTTTCTAGGGTTTATGTTTTTCTAGGGTTTAGGGTTTAAGTTTTTTCTAGGGTTTATGTTTTTCTATTGTTTAGGGTTTAGTGTTTTCTATTGTTTAGGGTTTATGTTTTTCTAGGGTTTAGGGTTTTCTAGGGTTTATGTTTTTCTAGGGTTTAGGGTTTATGTTTTTCTAGGGTTTTCTATGGTTTAGGGTTTTCTAGGGTTTAGGGTTTAAGTTTTTATAGGGTTTATGTTTTTCTAGGGTTTAGGGTTTTCAAGGGTTTATGTTTTTTTTTCTAGGGTTTAGGGTTTTCTAGGGTTTAGGGTTTTCTAGGGTTTAGGGTTTTCTAGGGTTTACGTTTCCTTCGAAGATGCCAGCAGCTTTTTGATGAAAAGAAGCAAAAATAGCGTTTTTGTGTTTTTTATAAAAACCCTCAAAAACTGAAATTTCAAATAAATTTAATTGTTTTAAACCCCGCGGTAAAACATAACGACCCTGGAGAGGTTTTATACGAATACTGCTGCTGCTGCTGCTGCTGCTGCTGCTGCTGCTGCTGCTGCTGCTGCTGCTGTCTTTGCTGCTGCTGTCGTTGCTGCTGTCGTTGCTGCTGCTGCTGGCGGCGTTGCTGCTGCTGGCGTTTTTGGTGCTGCTGCTGCTGCTGCTGGCGTTCTTGCTGCTGCTGCTGCTGCTGCTGCTGCTGCTGCTGCTGCTGGTGCTGCTGCTGCTGCTGCTGCTGCTGCTGCAGTGTATGGTGGTGGTGTTTAGTGGGGTTGTGCTGTTAACATAAAACTGCCGGAAAATATTAAAAGGAAGAAAATAAAAACAAACAGAAGAAGGCGTCGTCACTCGCATCAAGTGTAAACCCTCGTCCTATACACACAACACAAACCCTAAACCCTAAACCCTAAACCCTAAACCCTAAACCCTAAACCCTAAACCCTAAACCCTATACACACACCACAAAACCTAAACCCTAAACCCTAAACCCTAAACCGTAAACCCTAAACCCTAAACCCTAAACCCTATACACACACCGCAAACCCTAAACCCTAAACCCTAAAGCCTAAATATAGGCCCTCGTCCTATACACACACCACAAACCCTAAACCCTAAACCCTAAACCCTAAATATAAATAATGCAAAAGAACTAAAACAACAAAATAAAAAAAAACAAAAAACAAAACAAACACAAAACCAAAACAAAAAGCAGAAAAAAATAAATAAAAATAAAAATAAAAATAAAAATAAAAATAAAAAAAATAAATACCTGTGTATTGAGTCGATGGAAATCCAATATCTCCCATCTCTCCGTCAGCAACAAACCTAAACCCTTTTTATTTATTTTTGTTTTTTTTAATATTAAATTAATTAATTTATCTTCTGGCGTAGATAAAGAAAATAAAGAAGAAGAAAAAACACAAAGAGAAGAGCTTTTATATAAACCCTCACGAGCCAGCATACGCAACTCCTGAACGCACAAACCCTAAACCCTAAACCCTAAACCCTAAACCCTAAACCCTAAACCCTAAATTTATAAAAAGGAAGAAGTAAAGGGTTTGTTTATTTTGGTGTATTTATTGCATAAGTAAGCGTTTTTGTGATTATGCT